ACACTCGGGGGGCACCCCCTCCCCCCCGCCTCGCGGAGCCGGCAGCTGTCCCTAATTAGAGCGGCGGTTTAATTGGATTTATCAGCAGTTAATAGGAAATTAAGCAAAGGGCCCGAGAGAGGGAGGGCAGGAGGAGCGGGGAGGCCGGCTGTGCCGAGCTGGAAGGACCGGTGCTTGGGGTGCCGGGGATGGGGACACGAGCCCAGTATCGCGATTGAGCCCCATGATCAGCGCCCTCCCCCCAGTACTGGCCCGCGGGTTGAGGCCAGGCCTGCCAGCGGAGAGCAGGACTCATGAAGGAGGCAGGAGCATCAGCGCCCCTGTGTGAGCCCCCAACGCCCCTCACTCCCACAAACGGCCGCCTAGGTGATGGATGATGTTGCCACAGGCAGCAAAGGTCATAAGTCTGAGCCAAGGAACGGACTGAAATGAAAACAGACTGGAGGAGGGGCCAGGTTACCCGGGTCCAGGACACAACCTGCACCCTACTCCTCTGCAGTACCCACTCCACTCTTAGCAAAGAAAGTACCCCTTACAAGTGGGAAGATTGGGCAGCACGGGGGAATGAGGGGGAGTCCAGAGTGACCATCCTTTCCACACCTGCCTCACGGCTGTGTGGGCAATCCTGGCACTCCCTATGCAGCCACCAATGTCCCTCTGTGGCTCCCCACCCCTCCCCAAGTGCTGGGGCTGGGACCAGCTGGCCTGGCTGTTGTCAGAGTGGCCCAGGGTCTGCACCACCCACCCTGGGGTCCAGGGAAGGAAGCTAGTAGGCAGTCAAGCAGGGGAGCAGGGTCCACAGCCCCAGGCACCTCCTGTCACTAAGACCTCATTATGTGGCTAGGCTAACAAGGCCTGCTTCTAGAACCCCAGCAACCTCTCTGCCACACTCCACCACCGGAGAGCACAGACAGCAGCTCCTGCATGTGTGTGTGCGCGAACCTCTGAATGCGTGGGGGTTGGTGGGGGTCCCTCTGAGTCCCTGGAGATTATGGGTGTCTGTGCCTCTGATGTGTAAGTGTGTGTGTGTGCCCGTGCCCCAAGTGTGTGAGGTGTGTATATCAGAGCACCAGTTGTTAGTGTAAGTTGGTATGTGTGCCCCGGTGTGTGTCTGTGCCCGTAAGTATGTATTGGTCGGACTTGTCCCCATTCTGTCCCCCCCCACCTCTATGATTTTTGTCCGGCTTAGCCCCTGAGGGTCTAGGTGTGCATACGTGCTTTGGCTTTTCTATGTGTCTGTGCAATCTTCACGCCTGGGTGCGCCCCGGAGTGTGGGCATTTCCGCGTGTCTCTGCCTGCAGGACTGTGTATGTGTGAGAATCACGAAGAGCCGCCGGTGAGTGTGTGTTGCTCTGGCGTCTCTGCCTGCAGGTGCGTGTATCTCCGTGACAGTGCGGGGGCGTGTGCCCGGGTGTGAGCCGCGCGACAGCGTGTATCCGAATGACTGTGACGCACGCGCGCTCGTGTGTGCGTGTGGGGGGTGGTGCGCGCGCGCGCGCCTGGGTGAGTCTCCCGCACCCGCCCCTTCTTCTCCCTATTTCTATTCCTCTCTCCTCTCCGGGCGGGCTTGGCTCCGCCGTCCGCATCATCTCCATCCATTATTGAAGAAACAGCCGCGTCCGCTCCAATCACATCAACACCCCCCGCCCCCCTCCGTTCAGCTCGCCCCGCAGCCCCTCTGGGTGCTGGGGTGGGGGGAGCCGCGGCGCGGCGGGGGCGCCGGGCGGGAGCGGGCTCCTGACCCCTTGCCCCGAGCCGGGCCAGGCACCGGGACGCCGGGGTCCCCGGCGGAGAGCGCTTTGCATAAACAGATGGCGCGGGCGTCTTTGTCTCGCTCGTTCTCTCGCCCCGCGGCCCCCAGCTCCGCGGCTGTCTGGCTGATGCAATCATGATCATCTCTCGGAGCCTCGGGACCCGGCGCCCTTAATAGCTGCAGAGGGGGTCAGGGGCTCCGGGGCTCCCGAGCAGATGCTGGGCACTGTGTCTTCCCTCCCGGGCGCCCCCTCCACGCCCCACGGCTGCAGAGGGAAGACGGAGTCCGCGCCGAGGTGACGGGCATGTGGAGGTGACCGGGAAGTGGACCCGGGGCAGTGCCCTGAGGTGTCCCCAGGCTGGTCTCGTTGGACTGCTGCAGCCCCCCAGGGGCAGCAAGCTGGAGAATAGGAATAGAACTGGGGGATGGGAGGGGGGAGAACGAGATAAAGACAGAGACAGGCATTTGTAAAGAGAGACACAGAGCGCAGAGAGATGTAGAGGGGAGGAGAGACAGAGAGAGACACAGAAACAGATGCAGAGGGACAAAGCCTGGTAGAGACGGCGGCAGAGGGAGAGACCGACAGACACAGCCAGAATGTAAGGAACAGAGAGACACAGATAGACACAGAGACAGACACAGAAAGACCGAGGTAGACAGGGCCGGAAGAAGAAAGAAGCAGAAAGAAGGGCAGCCAGAGACTGGGGCAGGCAGGGGCAGAGGGCAGTCGTAGGGCAGAGACCCAGCCCCGGGAGAGGGACAAGCCTGAACCTGTGGTGCCTCCCACAGCTGGCTAGGTGGCAGATCCCTCGTCCCCTCTCCGCGCTTGCCCCCGGCCCCACCTCAAACCAGAAGAGGGGAAGCTGCGGGACCCAATGCCTTGGCGGCGGGAGTGGCAGGAGCGGCAGGCGGGGCTTGGACCGACGCTCCAGGCCCTGACTTAACCTGCCCAAAACTGTGGGCGCAGAGTCTGCACGACCCGACAGGGGGCGCCCGAGGCATCTCCCCTAAAAGCTTGGGAGCAGCTCAACCTCCAGGGGGCGCCCGCGCCTACAACCCCGGCAGCCAGCTCGCTCCGCCCAGCCCAGCTACTTTTGAAGAGCTGCGCCGCCAGCGCGCGGATTAGTGTCCCGGTGCGATTTAGCGTTCGGAATCTGGTCCCCACGGGACCCCCGCACGCCCCAGGCCACGCCTGATCCGCAGCTAATGACTTCTGCCGTCCCTCACGCGGCTCGGTCAGCGTGGCCTGAGTCTTTCTGATGGGAAGGTGCTGGAAGGTGGGGAGACATGGGATGCGGAACTCACGGAGTTCTGTATCCCAGCTCGGCCCCAGAGATCACGATCCAGAGATGGGTGGGGGCTTAGAAGTAGGATCGCAGAATGGCGGGGTCAGGGACTGGCACCAGGAACGGGTGCAGGGTCAAGGAGCCCTGGAGAGGCCAGAGCAGAAGCAATAACATAAACAGGCGCTTGGAAAGTGGGGGCGGAGGCCCAGGGCAGGAGGAATAGCCGCGGCTCTAGGAAAGGAGCGGCGCGGAGAGTTCGGAACGCGCCAGACCCGGGTCACCGAAAGTCACAAGAAATGGTACAAGAGCCGGGGCGAGGGCCCGAGAAGCCAAGGGGGCGCGGCACGGGGGGCCAGACGTCCCTGCCTGCGTCCGGGCGCCCCAGCTGTGCCATGCAGAGCCAGATGTGCAGCCCAGATGTGCAGCCCCTGGAGCTCGAGCTCCGGGATTGATTTTTAGTCCCGGAGACTGGAGGGCTGGGGGGCACAAGGGCCAGGACATTCCGCTCCCCGGCCCGGTCCTGGAGGTGCGAGTGCTCAGGGAGGGCCGGGCTCTGCGCTGCTCCAGGTTCTGACATCCCGTCAGTCCCCCTCCTCCGCGCCCCCCCCCCCAAACGCATCGCTTCGAGTCTCTGTCTCTTTGTTCTCGCCGTGTCTCTGACACTTTATCTCATTATCCGCCGGAGGGAGGCGGAGAGCCTGGGACCCCGCAGCCTAATTACAGCCGCGCTTGTCAGCGCAGGGGGCGGGGGAGGTATCAGCGCGGGGAAAGAGGGGGGAAGGCAAGAAGGGTAGCTTCCTTCCCTCTACACCTCTCCCCGCCCCGCAGGTCCAGTGGTGGGTGCACAACTCACCGCTGTCCATGCCACCACAGGGCTCTGGACGGGAGGAGTGGGGGAGCTCTGCCGGATTCGCCGGCGGGGTGAGAGGGAGGAGGATGAGAGGGCGGAAGTTAGCATGGCGGTGGGGAGAGGTGGTTAGGACTAGGCTCGGTCCCCGCAGTTCCGCAACGACGATGGCAGTGAGCCTTCCCACCTCAGCAGCATAGCCGGCACCGAACTTGGCTGCAGAAAGGGAGGCGATTGCTCTGCCCTTCTATCTCGTGTCTTGTTCTCTTTCCTCCTTCACCATCTTTTCTATCTTTCCTTGACTATTTCCCTTACCCCATTCTCTTCCTCTCTATCACAGCCAGAAACAGAGAGCCTCCTTGGGTGGCCCCGGCTTCATCCTGACGGGAGGGAGGCAGCGCAAGCAAGTCTATCAAAACCCCAAACTTCACAACTGACTTACTCTATCCTGAGCCAGGTTTAAAATACACCCAGCTCCTCTGACCTCTAAACACTATTCCAAGCCAACCACAACACAACTCAGAGAACTACCCATGACTAGAGGAGCTGGGGCTGCTTCAGTGCTGTGGGTCTGTCTGTCCCTCTCCTCCTCCCACTACACTGTGTAGGGAGACAGAACTAGGGCCTTTGGGAATCTGCCAGTTCCCTGGGGATTAGCTCAAGGGCTGTGCGGGAAGTGCTTCAGATGCCCTCACTGGTCCCTGGCCCCTCCTGGTCCCACCCCTGAACCCTCCACCCCCGCACTTTGCTTGCAAGTCTCTCTGTCTGACTGCCTGTCCCGCGGTGAGTTCTTCCTGCCACCTCTGGATCCTCCCTCAATCAGTCTCTTGGTCAAAGCCTGCGTTGCCTCTCTCTCAGACCAGTTCAGAGCCCCAGGTGTGAGGGTGTCCCCTGGACCAGGGTGCGGCCATCAGAAGGAGTGCAAGAGCAGAAAGCCCTCCGCTTGCCGACACTTCTCCCGCTCGGAGCTGGGAACTGCGGGAGGAAGAGATGAGTGGGGGTGGGGTGAGCCTGCTGAAGCGGGGCCCCGCTGGGCCGGGCTGGGCCGGGCTGGGCTGGGCTGACCCCTCCCCAGTCGGGGGCGGGACCCCAGGAGGAGCGAGGGAGCAGAGCCGCTGGGGAGCATCAGACGGCGGAGAGGCACTATGGCGGGAACGAATCTCGGGGCCCGCTTCTACCGGCAGATCAAGAGACATCCCGCAGTGAGTTCGGTCCCCAGAGCCACTGTATCTAACTCCTGATTCTCCCGTTTCCCTGGCGGGCCCCCAAATCTCCCAGTACCCTGCCTCTTGCCCAGTTCCCCCAGTGCTCCTAATCTTTCTCCAGCGTGCCCTCAATCTATCCCTGCAATATGCCCCGTGTCCCTTGAAACCACCTGGGACCCGCTCGCTGTGGGATGAGGGAGACAAGGCTGGAAATGTAGTGTGGGAGGTTCCAGGTCCTCTCTCTCCCAGACGGGAGGGAGTGCCAGACCCGGGTTGGGGTGGGGGCGGGGGCGGGTGCTGGCAGAGAAGATTGTAAAGGGCGCTCGGGACTGCAGGGAGGGGGCTGACCGCTAAAGTGCCCTCCGTCTTCTCCGCAGCTCATCCCGATGATCGGCTTCATTGGCCTGGGAATGGGCAGTGCGGCGCTGTACTTGCTGAGACTCGCCCTGCGCAGCCCCGACGTCTGGTAAAGGCCGGGTCTGGGACGCAAGCAGGGGGCCCGGGTGAGGCAAGGAAGGGTAGGAACGCAAGGGCCTCTCAGGAACAGTGCGAACGGGTGGTCTTAGCAGGGATCCCCGGGCAGCGCACCTGCGTGTGCACCGCGCGGCAACTGCAGGCTGCAGCCTGCAGCCCGCTCCTGACCCGGGCGGCGCCGGCCTTCCCCTCCACGCGTCCGACCCACCACTCACTCCTCGGGGCCCCAAACTCGACCCGCTTTGGGCTGCGCAACCCGCGCCGCTCCCGGCCCGGTTGCCATGGCGACGTGCTCGGCCGGCGGGCGGCCTTTGGGTACCTCCACCTCCCCGCCTGAGCGCTGGGGGTGTGGCCGGGTGAGGGGCGAGGGGCGCCTTTGGGGCTGGAGTGGAGCCGAGACTCCCAGCCCCAGCAAGGGCGGCGGGGGTGGGGAGTGGGGGCTCTCGGGCCCCGCCAGGAGCACCTCCGGCGTCGGAATTGCAGGCAATCACGGAAACCCCAGCCCGTCAGGATCTCTGCTTCGTTCCCGCCGCTCCGCTCTGGGGGGTGAACCTAGGGAGGCAAGAAGCAGGCGGGAGGCCCTGGGTGGGTTGTCAGTCTGTCACCTGGCCCCATACTGACAGTGGCGACAGCCTTCTGTTTCACTTGTCAGCACCTACTAACTTGCCCCCACCCCTGTCAGTCTCTGGGAAATAGCCCCCTCTCCAGGATAGGACAGGGGTGTTGAGGGGGGGCAGAGACCCTGTCACTTTAGGCCCCAGGGTCCTAGCCTCCAGAGAGGAAACCCTTACCTTCCCCCTCCCTCTCTGTAGCTGGGACAGAAAGAACAACCCAGAGCCCTGGAACCGCCTGAGCCCCAATGACCAATACAAGGTACCTCCTCCATCTGTTCATCTTGGTCCCGGGACCACCCTCCCCACCCCCAGGCCACGAAGGGAAGTCTGGGGCACTCAGTGCCCCTTTCCCTCCTATAGTTTCTTGCAGTTTCCACCGACTATAAGAAGCTGAAGAAGGACCGGCCGGACTTCTGAGCTGGCGGGGGTGCCAGCGAGCAGTAAACCACCGCCAGCCAGTCAGCCGGCCGACTCATTTCTTCCACTCTCTGCCCCTGCCCCCAGGGCGCCACTCTAGCCACCCTGCCCAGCTGCTGCTTCCACAGGCTTGGTTCCCACAGGAGGGGAGACAGCTCCCCACCCCCTTCCCTTGCTCCCGCAGCGGAAGCGCCTCTGACCCTCAGCTTGAGTCCCACGCGGGGGGGGGGAGGGGGGGGGGAGTGGGGGGAGTTAGGAGGGCAGGCAGTGTGTTGACCCAAAAGGCTCAAGCCAGCCCCTCTGCCCCCCTACCCAGGCCTTGCAGGGTGTGGCTCAGGCTACGTGTTGAGCGTGGCCAACGTGAGCCAAGAGCAAGCGCAGGCCTCTCGGTGCCAAGTGACGTGGCAGGCCCCGCGTTAGGCCAGGCTCTGGCGCCGCGCAGGGGCGGTGCTGCTCTGGCTCGACTGGGCTCGTCGCTGGCCGCCCTGCTTGCCATCGCCGCCGCCGGGCCTGCCCTGGATGAGGCACCAGAAGCGCAGCAAGCGCCTCCCCGTGCCCAAGCCCACTGCTTCCCGGGCCAACAGGCATCCCCTCCCACGGCCTTGCACCTGGGCCTCCCCCTGCCATTCTGCCCCTCCCTTGCTCCCCTCAGTCCCCTGGGATCAAACAGAAGCAGCCGTGGGCAAAATACAATTTCATTTAACAAATTGAATTTGCTGCGCCTGCTAATCACGTCTGGTGTTGGCTCTGATCAGAGACAGAGAAAGG